AAATTATAACCATCACCATGGAAAGTAAAAATGGAAAGTAAAAATGCAGATCTTCATCCTGAAGTTTTAGTTTATATTATGGAAATTCTCAGGTTTTACAAGTGCAGCCATTCAAAGTGCTGAAACAATCCTTATAAAATAAATAGATTGCTTACCCTGATTTTTTTCCCTAATTTTTTTTGGGGTGGTGGTGGACATATTTAACTTATTCCACTCTTCTTTTTGTTTTTAAATACCGTCCGAATCATTGCCGATTATATTAATGGTAATTATTATTATCGGACTTATTCAAAGAACAAGGGCATGATGTCACAGCAATGTTTTAAGGTCCTCAAATTATTCCCATTTTTCAAGTCTTTGACCCTTAACACTTAATTTTTAGCTCACCTGAGCCAAAGGCTCAAGTGAGCTTTTCTGATCACAATTTGTCCGTTGTCTGTCGTTGTCGTTGTCGGCGTTGTCGTCGTCGTCGTCGTTGTCGGCGTTGTCGTTGTCGTAAACTTTTCACATTTTCATCTTCTTCTCAAGAACCACTGGGCCAATTTCAATTAAACTTGGCACAAAGTATCCTTGGGTGAAGGGGATTCAAGTTTGTTCAAATGAAGGGCCACGCCCTTTTCCAAGGGGAGATAATCATGATTTAGAGAAAAATTATTGGCATTTTTAAAAAATCTTCTCCTCAAGAACCACTGGGCCAGGAAAGATGAAACTCATGTAGAATCATCCTCAGGTAGTGTAGATTCAAGTTTGTTCAAGTCAGACCCCCGGGGGTAGGGCGGGGCCAAAATGGCCGATCAAAGTTTTACATAGGAATATATAGAACAAATCTTTAAAAATCTTCTTTTCAAGAACCACTGGGCCAGGAAAGATGAAACTCATGTGGAATCATCTTCAGGTAGTGTAGATTCAAGTTTGTTCAAGTCATGACCCCCGGGGGTAGGGCGGGGCAAAAATGGCCGATCAAAGTTTTACATAGGAATATATAGGAAAAATCTTTATAAATCTTCTTCTCAAGAACCACTGGGCCAGGAAAAATGAAACTTATGTGGTATCATTGAGGTAGTGTAGATTCAAGTTTGTTCATCATGACCCCGGGGGGTAGGGCGGGGCCAAAATGGCCGATCAAATTTTTACATAGTATATAGGAAAAATCTTTAAAAATCTTCTTCTCAAGATGGGCCAGGAAAGATGAAACTCATATGGAATCATCCTCAGGTAGTGTAGATTCAAGTTTGTTTAAGTCATGACCCCCGGGGGTAGGGCGGGGCCAAAATGGCCGATCAAAGTTTTACATAGAAAATATATAGGAAAAATCTTAAAAAATCTTCTTCTCAAGAACCATTGAAACAGGAAAGATGAAACTCATGTGGAATCATCCTCAGGTAGTGTAGATTCAAGTTTGTTCAAGTCATGACCCCCCGGGGGTAGGGCGGGGCAAAAATGGCCAATCAAAGTTTTACATAGGAATATATAGGAAAAATCATTAAAAATCTTCTTCTCAAGAACCACTGGGCCAGGAAAGATGAAACTCATGTGGAATCATCCTCAGGTAGTGTAGATTCAAGTTTGTTCAAGTCATGACCCCGGGGGTAGGGCGGGGCCAAAATGGCCGATCAAAGTTTTACATAGGAATATATAGGAAAAATCTTAAAAAATCTTCTTCTCAAGAACCATTGAAACAGGAAAGATGAAACTCATGTGAAATTATCCTCAGGTAGAGTAGATTCAAGTTTGTTCAAGTCATGACCCCCGGGGGTAGGGCGGGGCCAAAATGGCCGATCAAAGTTTTACATAGGAATATATAGGAAAAATCTTTAAAAATCTTCTTTTCAAGTACTTCAAAGCCAGGATTAGTAATATTTGTATGGAATCATCCTCAGGTAATGTAGATTCTAGTTCGTTCAAATTATGATCCCCTTGGGGGTTAAAATTCAAGCCCCCCCCCAACTTAAATTAACTTTCAGTTCTGATCTGATGTGTTTTTTCCTAGCTGATGTGCTCAGGTGAGCGCTGTTTCTTGTTATTTGCTTCAGATAAAAACTTCGACTTTCATTGATGGTTAAGTTGTCTCTTTTTGTTTCTGGTAAAATGAAGACGGGCACGTGGTGCGCAACAATAATGCATAAGTAATATGTAATTATTAAAAAACAGGAATAAATGAAGGGCATATGATATTTATAAAGGTTATTAAATGAACAAACATATGATTTCACATATAGACATTCAATATTATGGGAGCAATTTTGTTTTTATTTTTACATATGGTTGTCCAGACACATTACACTTGTATTTGTATGTAAACTCATTCAAAATGCGAAAACATTCATCTGGAATTTTACCTCCGTAAAAGGCGTAAAAATTTAAATCACTCTGTTTCAACCAAAGTTTGTAAAAATAAACACCAGTAATAATTACCAGTTATAAGGTATATAGGAAGAAAATCTTTTAAAGACCTTTTTTCAAGAATAGCAAAGTTATATGCTATAATGATATGGAGGCATCCTCAAGTAGTATACCGGTAAAATTCAAGCCCCCAAATCTCTAAACTTTTCATGTGCTTTTTCCATAACCCATGTGCTCAGGTGAGAGATGGGGTCTCTTGTTAAATGCTGTCAATATTGTATCATTGATTTTACAGTACCTTCAGAAGTTGAAAAACTTAGAGCAGAAAAAAGAGGAGAAAACTTCCTGGAACTAGGTTGGTTTATGCCCAAAAGAGTAAATGGAAATCTGAAGGAGTTTAAAATTATGTGTCAAAAAGGTGAGTTCTGATGTTAGCTGTTTAAACTATGAGAATTAATTTATCAAGCCAGACAACTCTGTAAAAAAAAGATATAAAATAAAAATAATTTAAAACAAGTATTCAAATATTCAAATTTTCAGTTTACTCAGGTGACCTATTGCTATCCGTTTTTGTCTGTTGTCTGTCATGCACTGTGTGTTAAAATTTGAACATTTTCTGCTTCTTCTCTGCAACCGCTTTACCAATTTCAACCAATTTTGGCACAAAGCATCTATGGGTGAAGGGGAGCAAAAATTGTGAATTTTGTGGTCCCTGCCCCCTGAGGAGTGGGACCAAAACCACTAAAATTAGTGCAATCTTTAAAAATCTTTTTCTTTACTCCTTGACATCAAGCAGTCCAACTGTTGGCATGATTGATATCAGCATTGAGTCCTTTACCAAAATTGTGAAATTCATGGCCCCAGGGTCAGGGGTTCTGGTGTTAGGGCGGGGCTAAATAGATTATATAGTGAAAATGCATTATTTCTTTGAAAATATTTTTCTCTGCTTCTGGGCAATAAATAAACTAACCAAGAAATTGGTTATATTGAATAAGGTTGCCTCTACCAAAATTGTGAATTTCATGGCCCCTGGGTCAGGGGTTCTGGTATTAGGACGGGGCTCTGTTGATTAGGCCAAGCTTAAAAAATTCTTTGTTTGCAGTTGCCGACCTACAATTTTTAGACTTGGTAGGTAGGTAGACACTGTTTCTTTTTTTGGAAAAAAAATGTTTTCAGATTTTTTATAGATAACAAATAACAGCTAGATCGAGCTTTTCAAAGGCCAACTAAACATGAATAAGCTCCACTCTTGTTATAAACCACTGAATGACAAAAACAAGTCAAAAATTGAAAATGAAACAGTTTCAATATCATGGAAAATAAAAAAAAATTAAATTTACAAAATGGCTTTAAAAAGTTTGGGTCGGGTGCATTTTCAGTGGGTCGGTAGGCAACTGCAAACAACAAAATTTTATTTTAGGCCTTATGAAAGTGAAAATGCATATATTCTTTAAAAATGTTCTCCTCTGCTCTTGGGTATTTAACCAATAAATTATTACATAGCTATGATGAGGAAGGATGTTTCTTTCCAACTTGTGAATTTCATGGCCCCTGGGTCAGGGATTCTGGTGTTAGGGTGGGGCTATATGGGTTATATAGTGAAAATGCATTAATTCTTAGAAAATCTTCTTCTCTGCTCCTGGGTATTAAACAAACAAATTAAGTACATAATTATAATGAGCAAGAATGCCTCTTCTAAAATTGTGAATTTTGTGGCCCATCGGTCAGGGTTAGGGTGGGGTTCTTTTGTTTATATAGTGAACATGCATAAATTCTTTAAAAATCTTCTCCTAGCTCTGCTCATGGGTATTACACCAATAAACTTTGTACATAGTTATGATGAGGAAGGGTGCTTCTTCCCAATTTTTAAATTTCATGGCCCTAGCTGGGTCAGGGGTTCTGGTGTTTGGGTGGGGCTCTAATGAGTATATTCTGAAAATGCATGAATTCTTTGGATATCTTTTCCTTTGCTCCTGGGTATAATGCCAATGATCACAGATTAATGATGAAGAAATGTGCCTCTTCCAAAATGGTTAATTTCGGGATCACTGGATTAGGGGTACTGCAGACAGGGGGGAGGAAGGGGGTGTACATAGTCTGAAAATAAAGTAATAATGTGAAGCTTTGAAATCTGCTCTTTGATATTAATGAACCACTTATGATGAAATGCAATTTATATTGAAATTTCCAAAATTTTGAAATATATGGCTTAGGGTCAGTGGTTCCTCTGGGTTGGGTTGCACAACTGGTGGTTATAAAGTGGAAATGCATTTTCTTTTTGTTAATTTGATCTGTCTGTGGGTATTACCTTAACCACCCTCACAATTCTAG